CCTATACTGACTAATTTCTGTTGTACATTAATAGAGAAGGTATAAACAAAAGAAGACAAGCTTGGGGCAAATACAGATTTATATTTCATTTATGACCTTTTACTACAAGGTTTATATATAGCAAGTGTATATATATTTGATCTTATTAAGAAATTAACAGGCTTGTTCTGATTTTCTTTCTACTAGTTGTAGAAACCGTAAATTCCACACTTTATAATCACTGTTGAAACTGTTAGTCACACTAACATTTCAGGATTAATCAGTATTTTAATTTGATAATAGTTGTTGAATATATAAAATGCTTTCTTAAGTATTATTATTGCTAAAACGCTAAGTGTGTCCCCTTTTACAAATTGTCATTGTATGTTTAGATTTGGGTCTGTTTGCTGAGTCGGTGTTTATTCCTTTCCATTTCAAGAACATTTTGCATAGTTTGGTTTTTTGAAAAGTTTTTTGATGTAAGTTTCTTTTCTAAAGTCTCCTGAGTAAAACTAATTTTTTTTTTTTTCTCTTAAGGCTGAAACTGTCACCATATATTCTTGTTCTCAATAATGGCTTTTCTGGATCACAGCAGTTATTTTCTTTATCATGTGAAGGTGATTATTTTCCGTTCCACTGAAAATGGCTATAATTTATTTTAAAGTCTTTGAAATTTTGATAGAATGTTTCTAAGTGTAGTTTTTATTTTCCACAATTTTGTTAAGTTAACTTTTGTTGGATCTGAAAAATCTCAGCCATTATGTCTTCAGATCAGTTCTCATTCTATGAGTTCTGTAGCTGTAGAGCTGGCTTTAGCTGGCTGTCAGGCTTCCTAGTTATGCCTTCCTTGTTTGTTTTTACCTTCTGCTTTTTCCTTTTTGCCTTTCTATCTTCTATTTCATTAATTTTTTTGTTGAGGTATGTTTGTTTTGATTGATTGATTGGTGTTTTTTTTTTTTTTTTTTTTTTTTTTTAGGGGTCAGGGTCTTATTTATATAAAATCTTGGCTGTCCTGGAACTTGCTGCGGGGTCCAGGCTGGTCTCAGAGATCCTGAATGCTGGCCTTAAAGGTGTGCACCACCATGTCCAGCCTTTGTTCAGATATGTTTAATCTGATTTTTAACTGGTTTGCTGAAATTTTAACTTTCACATTATAAGCTTTCATGTCAGAAAATTGGGATTTGAAAGATGCCCTATCTCTCTCCCCCACTTTTCCCCTTCCTGGAGAGGGCTTAACAGTTGTGAGCCTGTACTGCTCTTGCAGAGGGCCAGAGTGTGGTTCCCAGTACCGTACACTAGTCTCTGGGTATTCCTTTGCCCTATTCTGGTCTCCCTGACACCTGCACTGGCATCTACATGCTCCCATCTCGCATATATACACATTATTACAAACAACAAAACCCAAGGGATATCATGTCTGTCATACGTCAGAATCAAGTGAGATTAAATAAATAACACTGATTGCCAAACTGTAGGTGCTTTGTGAGTTTTTGTTTGTTTATGAACTTTTTCTGGCCAGTCTCATTGCATGATGTAGTCATTCTTGGTTATTTGCTGCTGATACTGTTTTTATTCTTTAGTTCTTTTAACATTATTTTCTGTATGCGAATGGTTGGGGTGTTACAAGCACATGTGTGGAGGTCAGAGAACTACTAGTGGGAGTCAGCTGTTCCTGTGATGTGAATTCTAGGAGTTGAACCCTGCTCAACAGCGACTAACCCTGCCAAGTCAGATCGCCAGCCACTTTTTAACCTTTAAACAACCCTCTGTTTATTTAGTGTATGCACATGTGCCTATGTGAGTTTATGTGTGCATGAGCCCTGGGAGGCCAGAAAAGCGTGTCCACTCCCCTGGACCTGGGTTCTAGGCAGTTGTGAGGCTCTGTTGGTGCTGGGAATAGATCTTGGGTTTCTCTGTAAGAACAGTAAGTACTCTTAACTACTGAGCTTTCTTTCTGGCCCCTCGTTTTACTCTTTTAAACTTAAATTTGTACATACATGTATGTGTGTGTGCACACATACACTTAATGCACCTTACCCTTAATATGTTATTTACAGTTTTAGAGATTTAGCTATTTTACCGTCTGTTCTGTATATAAAGTTATGGAATCTTTTAAAAGTGTTTGTAGAAGATTAAAAACCCTGTAAAATTTATACCCGAGTAGACAATCTCAGGAGTTGTTAATTTCTCTAGTCTGATAATTAATATATTTGTTGTATTTTAAGCAGTGGATTTAATGACTGGGAATGATTTTGAAAGTTCATACTCACTGAGAGGTACTATATGTAGTGAAGCCTGGGCCACTGCTCAGCACCTGGAGTGCACAGCCTCCCACAGTAAAGCTACTCAGGATCAAATGTTAGCAGCACCCTGAGGGTAAGTAAGAGACTGGTATGTGAAGTGAGTATTCAGTGCGGATGCTGGTAGGTGAGTGCCACAGTAATTGAGAGGAAGGGCCTTCAGGTTTCAGGAAAATAAGGCCATTGATTCCCCTTCCGTCTTTGAATTCTTTCTGTACTTCACCCTCGTTGTTTACATCCAGAAAGTCTGCTACTAGTCAGGCAGATTTTCTGCTTTTTTTTGCAATGTTTTAGTTATATAAATGGATTTTAGTTATGGAGATCTTGGAGAATAGAAAATTACATATAGAAAAAATTGTCATTAATGGCTCAGTGCACAAAGTGTTTGTTTCACAAACCAGATGTCCTGAGTTTTTATTTAAAACTATGTTTTGTGGATGGGTGCTTATGCATGCGTATGCTCGCCACAGAGCAGCACACATGGAGGTCAGAGGACAATTTGTAGCTGTTCTCTGCTACAAATACCATGTGGATCTGGGTTCTAGGAACTAAACACAGGTCATCAGGCTCAGCAGCAAGCACCTTAGGCACTATTGTATCTCGCTGGCTCCGACATTTTTTTTAAGTTTTTTTTTTTTTTTTTTGTTAAGAGTGTTTACATGGGAAATAGAAAAGTACAAGCTTTGCTGGAATAAGTAGAGGCAAAGTAGCAAAGTGAGAGGAAGTAGGCATTAGAGAGGGAATTCTGTAAAGGTGAAGTTATAGGTGTGTATCATAGATTAATAACTCAGTGGTGAATTTACCTTGTTATAGCGATGAATTGGAAAACAAGTGTCAAGATTTTGGTGCATAATAATGACTTCCCGCATTTAGAGGTTGAGCAGTAACGTTAACAGGTGACTGCAAGGTCCTTGGAAGTTAGAGTGCAGCTGTAGTTTAGTTCTGAAAGCTGTTCAGTTGTAGTGGCTGCAGCAGTGGCTAATGTTTAGTTTGTCCCCGGTCCACTGCTGATTTCCATACTTTCTGTTCTCTCACAAAGTGGGTGGAAGCAGTACATTGGTTTAGAGTTTAAGCAAAGCAAAACCAACAAGAAAGCCCAGGTTAGCCTTCCTCCAGCCCAGACTGTGAAAGATTCAAATGTGACTGCCTTAATTCTGACGAGAACCCGAAAGCTGCCGGTTGACACTGATGGCTGGAGAGGAAGAAGCAGAGAGGCTGGGGGCCTTGGTACTTCTGGAGGACTTCTTAATGTTTAGACCTTAAAAAAAATGAGTTTCTAGGTTGTTATACACACTAATTATTCAAAAATGTTGTAGATACCCTGGATGACTTTTGGGTCACTTATATCATTCCTAAAACACATTTTTAATGTTTATAACAAACTTCATAAATAATAAATGTTGGGAACCGGATTCTAAGTAAGGTCCTAAACTTGTTTGATAGGGCTCTGCTTGGAGTGTTTAAACCTGCTTTGGCAGGTAGACCACTTGGTCTCTTTAGGGGCAGAATCCTCACTACATTTCCCTTCAGTTTTCTTGAAGCCATCCATACAGAGAAGGATTGGGTTGTAAATTTTAATTGTATAATTAAGTGTAAAATTTAATTTTAAATGTAGATTTCTGGATCTCCCAGTTCCCCAAGGCTTCTTCCTGCTGTTTTTAAATTATTATTATTATTATTATTATTATTATTATTATTATTATTGTTATTGTTATTGTTATTATTATTTGTTTTTCAAGACAGGGTTTCTCTGTGTAGCCTTTGCCTGTCCTGGAACTCTGCAGATCAAGCTGACCTTAAACTCACTGAGATCAGCCTACCTCTGCCTCCTGAGTGCTGGGATTAAAGGTCTCTGCCATCACACCCAGCTAGGCTTCCTCTTGAATATTTACTCCTTATTGTGGTTATTAGAAAAAAGTTTTTTCTATAAATCCTTATTTGACTTGGTAGGTGTTACTGCTGTAGTTGCTGGAGTGAATCTGGGAGAATGGAACCTAAAAATGAGGTGAACTAAAGTCTCATGCAGTAGCCGACTTGATTCAGGGCATCAAAACAATTTATGTTCTGAGGGGTAATCAAGGTCATGTGAGCAGAGTTCACTTGAATTCATAAGATACAGTCAGAAGGGCAGAGTTTAAGCTGAGCACAGTCACAAAGACAACTTGTGCTTGGAAACAGCATTCTGGATAATAATGGGTAAAGTAGTCGGTAATCTAAAGTAAACCCACTCGTATTTACTACACCCGGAGAGACACGAAAGCCTATTTCGTGAATAAATCCATGCTATGGGGGAATAGAGGTTATAAGACTCTTGCCTTGTTCGCTTGGAGTTTTCTCACCTCAGATTTTCTTTTGTTACCTTTCAGAAAGTTGTTTTAATTCGTTTCACATATCTGAGCATATCACTGTCTGTTTTCATAGAGAAACCTGAAAATACTTAAGTAGTTGCAAAGTTCTTTACCATAGTGCCATTCTTTCATCTGTCCATCACAGATGCATCGTGGGAATACTTTTCCAGAAGCTCATGTGTTAGAGGTACTACTTGTTCCTACTGGGTAGTTGCTCAGATTTATCTTGAAGAATGCTAGTACTGTGGATTCTAAGTTACCTGTATTATCATTAGCAGTTTATACTTGGATGTTTAAATACGCTATGTTTTGAATAATTAGAATAATTTTAAAATAGAGAGTAGTAAAATTTGTAAAATATTTTATCTTTTAGGAGAGGGTTAAATCCACCTCACAGGGTGAAATCTATCTCCATGACAACATTTACACAACAGGAAATTGAATTCCTGCAAAAACATGGAAATGAAGTAAGTACATTGCAATTTTCAACTTTGTTAGTCATTTTAGTGTGATTTAGTAAGTTGCTTAACATGGTGAATTTTCTTGTCTCAATGTTATTTTTGTATTCTGTATTTAGCCATTTCAGAAAGTTCTTATTTGATAATATGTTTGTAAATAATGTCTAAATGATTTACTGTAAACCTGAGGTAAAACATAGGTACTTACAACTTGGCAGTGTTGTGGTAGCTGTAGAAGGCAGCTTTGGCGAATGTCTAGCATCTTGAGATAGAAGAGCCAGCTCTGTAATGTGGTACTAAACTTGTTAGGGTGCTGTGTCAGATGAGCTTTTGTTGGAGGCCATTTCCATCCTTTCTACTAACATTCTCATTATATGTATATGATGCTTAGTGGTTAGCAGGTGGTTATAAAGGAGAGGATCCCTAAGTGCAGAAAGACAGCAAAGCGAGCTAGGCAAAGATTTGGAGGGGAACTGGTTCCTGTGGCCTCAACTGGGTTCCCAGTAATCCCAGGCGACTCGTTTACTTCTCTTTAGATTTAAATTTGGTTGATAATTAAAGTAGTGATCTATTGTTTTAAAAATGGTAAAATAAAGAGTGTGGGATTGCTTTTTTTCTTTTGTTTGTTTTCGGGGGCAGGTTATGAGACTGGCTCTCTTTGTGTAACTCTGGGTGTCATGGAACTACTATGCAGGCAAGGCTGGCCTCAGATTCACAGAGATCCACCTGCCTCTGCCTCTGGGATCAAAGTTGTGCACCACTATGCCTGGAGGGAATGCTTTTTAAATCTTGGTAAGATTGGGTTAGCCCAGCTCAGTTGAGTGATAAAAACATTTTTGTTTCACAGGAAAAGCCTGCTTTCATGGAAGGCAATAGGACTTCAGGTGTACTATTGTAGTTGTGTGTCTGTCTGTGGTAAGCTTAGACACAAAAGAGGCTGAGTGTTATCATTTTACTGGTTTTAGTCATCTCTTTTACTTATAAAATGTATCCAAGTTTATTATACTTTCTTTTCCCAGTGCTTCAGAACTTAAAATTATTTACCTAACAAACCAAACGTTGTTGCCTGTATTATAATCCCAGCACTCATATAGAGGAAAGAAGATCAAAAACTGTAGGTCATGCTTGGTTATGTAGCAAGTTCTGGGCTAGCGTGGGCTGCATGAAAATCATCTTAAAACCAAAATGGAACAAGAATTATTTGCCTACTATGATGCACATGTATTTTTGTTTCTAAAATTTTGAAGAGTGAGTTCACAATTGTGAAATTTTCTAAAATACATAGAGAATAATACACACAGTTTGCCAGTGATGAAATAGAAATATTTTGAGTTTGTGGATGATTTGAGTTCAGTATAGGGAGCTATTCAAAGCCGGATGAAATGGCTCACCAGAAGAGCACATACTGTTCTTACAAGGACCTGAGTTCAGTTTCCAGCACCAAGTCAGGTGGCTCATGACTGCCTGTAATTCCAGCTCCAGTGGATCTGATGCCTTTTGACCTCCAAGGGCCCTATACTCTGTCTGCCTGTTTGTCTGCTTAACCCCTCCCGAACCCAAGTAATATCTCCGAAAAAGGTGCCATACTTAAGCACATATATTTAGGATTGAAATGGCAGTTGTCGTACATCTTATACATGAATGGATTTATACCTGGAGACACGCGTTTCTTAATTGGGAAATCAGAGGTATATTGGTTTTGGCAGCAATCTTAAGCTATTTCCTTTCCCCTCTGCCTCACTATCCTAGAGTTTTCGTGTGCTGGGGGATGTGTTTGATTGTTGTCACTATTGGAAAACATTGTTAATTTAATCTAGAAAGCACATGTTGGGTAACTTGTAATGTATTGAACAGAACTAACCTGCAAGCCATGTGCTGTATATAGTCACCGAGACCTTTATATTAATGGAAAGCATCTGTGTACAACCATATGCACCTGTAACTTAATCTTGTGTTACATGTATTACAGTTGTGTACATAATAACTGCAAAAGAAAGCCATGCTTTCAGCCTGGAACTAGTGGCAAAGATTATCAAGATTCAAGGCAAAAGACATGGAAACATGAGACCATCAATTGAAACTCAGTGCCTTGTTTTCTCACATTTATTCATCTAGGGAGATTATCATGTCATTCAGAACTTTGTTGAGAATTTTTCACTAACTTGAAAAGTTATAAAACCAGTGGTTATAGTCATTGAAGTACCTCTGTATTGGGCTGTGTTGGTAGCTGTCTATGATAAGCAATTAATACTGTTTTTTATTTATAAATATCCAGCAAGGGCAGATGTTTTACAGAGTGTATCTTTAGTTTCTGTAGGTATGCTTCATAACTTGACTATTGAGTGTGTGTAGACTGTCACAGAATGGAAGCAGATACAGTGGAGTATGCCTCGTATTAAGTCATAGGGCATGGAGTACCAAATGGTAAGGATAAGTATGACAGCAAACACTATATTTATTTTGCTGTGTTTTTGACCAACAAATTATTTCACAAAAATTTTCCACACACATTACCCTGTAGCTTAGTCAACTTTTGTCACTATAATAAATTACCTGAGATAAACTTATAAAGAGTAAATATTCACTTTGGCTTTAAATTGTGTTTTTATTTTTAAAATAGCATCTCCATATAGCTCAGGCTGGCCTAGAAATTGCTGTGAGCCCTCTACTTCAGCCTTTTAGCAATAAGACTATGGGTGTATGCCATCATGCCCAGCTTTAAAAAGGTTGTTTTGGTTTAGTGTTTTGGAGGCTTCAGCTTGTGATCACTTGGACTGTGTGGAGGTAACAATTGTGGCAAGAGGTTTAGCACAAAAGTGTCTGTCTCATTACCAGGTGGGAAGGAAGAAGGGTGGTCCTTGGGGGCGCATAGTTGTCTTCAAAAAGACATAGTTGTCTTCACAATTCTTCATAAAGGTTCTGGCACCTTCTAGTAGTGTCACTGCTGGGACATGGCCCTCTGGCTTACATGCTAGAACCATCTGCTGTAATCCGAAAGCATCTTGTGATGTCTCCTTTGTGTCCTAATGTTACTTCAGATTTCTGTCTGACGATGGCTGCACAAGCATGAGAACCTGTGTTCAGATCCCCAGGACCAACCTTAAAAGCCTGGCCTTGCAACGTGTGAGTGTGGCTGCACGGGGAGGCAGAGTCAGAAGAATTCTGGGAGCTTGCTGTCCAGCCATTGTAGCTAGTCAGTGAAACACGCGCGCGCACACGCACACACACACACACACACACACACACACACACACGCACACGCACGCCGCGTGCTCAGAAACACATAAAACATTTCTATAACTGCCTTCTTTTGTGACATGTGTGTAAATCATTTTTTTTAATTAAAGGAATTTCATTGTTGGGTTAAATTTGTTCTTAGAGGTAGTCGAGAGAGAACCAGTGAATGATGGACTAGATAATTCCATAGAAAGAAAATGTAATGATTGTACAGTATTTTTTCTAGAATTACATTATCTGTCGTGTGTGTTACGACTAAGGAAAAACTCACTGTGCTTGCTAGTGTTTGATGAGCTATCTGCTAGATTGAGGACATAATAATTGATTTTGAGAAAAAGTCCTCGAAATAAAGTACATTTTTTCTTTGCTGTGTGTGATTTGTCACCTTCTTTCTTTCTTCCTCCTCCTCCTCTCTCTGTGTGTGTTGCTGTGGGGATGGAACCCAGGAAGGGCTTCATGCATGCTAGACACTGTACAACTGAGCTTTGTCCAGCCCCTTCTATTTTTTATTTTTGAAACTGATTAATCACCTTCCTTATTCAAGAAACTGTTATTAAGTGCTAGTGTTACTGTGATAAGCAAAACTTGTCCTAAAATACTACGCTTGAAGATTATGTCTTTAACTGTGGTAAGCACGCTTACACGAGACGTGTGGAGCTAAACTTGTCAGTGTGCAGCACACTGTTGCTAACCCTGGGCAGGCAGTGTTAGTCAGCACATTGCTTTCAACCAGCATTTCTGGTTTCCTCTGTCCTGCCAGCTACCTTTCTATGTTAGGTACCTCATAGAAATGGGATCATTCAATTTTTGTTTTTCTTAGACAAATTATTTTAGCCATTTGTTCTCAATGTTCATCTTTCTCACAGAATTATGGCAGACTTTTTGAAGAAATATATTTTAAGGAGGTGGCAAGGTAAATTCATATATATCCACTCTTGAACTCTTGAGGTCCCCTGCCTCTGCCTCCCAAGTGCTGGGATCAAAGGTATGTGCTACCACAGCCTGGCATATAAAAAGTCCTTGATTGTAATGAACTAACTTATCTAATAAATAGCAATACATAAACATTGGTGATGACAGGTGGGTTCCGCCCCACCCTCTGTTTTCTTCTGTCTGAGGTTGAGACAGTTGCACTATATAGCCCAGGCTGGACTCAAAAACCAGTTATTGTCCCATTGCAGCCTTTTTAGTGCTGGGATTTCCGGCATGTGTCTCCATGGCTGCCTCCTTTATCTGTGTGTTTATAACCTATTTGAAAAAAACCAGTGACTAAAGGCTCCACAATGGGACTAGGAGTAAAAATCTGCCATTTTCATTTCATTACCACTAATTTATGAACCTTGTGACTGTAGGCAAACCATTTTTGTCTCTTGAGCTTCATTTTCCTTTATAATCTATAATGAATTCTGTATTATTTATTGCCTGAGGCTTAAAGAACAGTATTTTAAAAATTGATCTGTTACGCTGATGTCAGCTGACACTTTTATGAGGGAGGATATTTTTCTGATTGATTTCTAAGTTTAGAAAATAATTGTCACAAAGGAACATGTTGTGCTCTGAGCAGAATTTAGTGTACAGAGAAATTTGTAGAAATCTTTCACTGAAGGCAAACAGACATTACAGTAAGAGGTTGTCGTTTAAAACTTCCCTATTTCTGCTCTGACAACACCACGCAGTAATGGCTGTTTGCCTCTAGGGAAAGACTTCCTTCATTTTATGGCTTTATTTCCTGTGTACTTTTCGATGCCTTCGTCTAAAATAGGCTTCAGTTA